TCAGTCACTCTGGCATTCTGCAACGTCAGAATTTTTTTCACGCAATGTCACATTCAACCCATCACCATACTCCTTGCACGTGACTCTTTCTCCTGTCAGTCGCTTCAATCGACAGGAATTGCAGAACCCATTTTTATTCCTGGGTAAAGCGTTTCTTTGAACCATCTCTTCACATACCGACTCAACTTCCAACTTTGGCAGTGTTAGCTGCTAGCTGCTGCAATCAACACGCCAATCTTCTGCAAGCGATGAATCGATAGCAATCACAAACACCAGACAACTTCATTGCTGACATGTGTTGCTCCGATCCTGCCAACAAATCAGGCAAGCAGTCTGCGGCAAGTCTAGCTGCATTAGCAACATATTACACGGGATGACAGTCGGTGTCAAGTACACCAATGTTCCCTGGCGAACAATCGGTACAGGATTCCCGTCAGGATCAATGCCAGGTAATCCTTTGACGCGACAGTCCAACAGTCCTGCAATAGGACTGCACTTACCAGTGGAAACGGGATTCCTCGACACACATAAACCTGAACACTCATCGAGTGACCATTCCCACAGTCAAACTGGACAATCCTTCTACCAAGAACTTCCAACGTCTTTCCAGACAAGCTCTTCAAAATTGGGGACTCCGGACACTCCGGCGCAAACCATTCTGGACGACAGCTCGCGCACGCTCCACTGTCCAACAACATCCACGAACAATCTATCATCCTTCTTGCGTGCGAAACTCACTCAACTTGTCACCAATGATGTCAGGGTCTGTTGCAACGCCTTCCTGGATGTTTGACAATGATGGCAACTCATCAGGCACAACAGTCCTTGCACCCAATGTTGCAACCAGTGGACATGCTCCAACAAACTAGCTTGTTAGCAGCCCAGGTCTGGCACCACACACAGTCCTGACACGCTGCGCAGTCGTCACGGAACCAGAACCCTAAACTACAGGATCTACACCACAGGCATGGACACGCACAAGGAAGGTGTTTGGCTGCAAGTGTCTAAGCAGGTCACAGTTTGGCCATCTGGCCCCTGCCCTTGGGCATACGATTTGTTAGCGGGAACTCAGTCCCTGCGCGCACCTCTCACCTCGTCCTCTCCTGTGTATCACAGGGGACGGGCGGGCGGGTTTCAAAAAATCCTGAGCCACTCGAAATATCGAAGTACCTGAACAAACAGGACGACCTGGCAAGGGGACAGTCAACGGGACTACGACGTGCTGTATTCCTTAGCTTAGGGTTCGGGGTGTGCGCAGGCCATATCCCAACCTACCCCAGCGCAAACCATCCAACCCTAAACTACAGGATCTACACCACAGGCATGGACACGCGCAAGGAAGGTGTTTGGCTGCAAGTGTCTAAGCAGGTCACAGTTTGGCCATCTGGCCCCTATGCGCAGCCGCAGCCAAACACCTGTCGGAAGCAAACAGGATACACCCACTCACCAAGCTTTAGCGCGAACGACAGGCTCGGTTATGCAGCACAGGCAAGATGTGTCCACACACACACACACACACACACTCCCGCGCACACGCATCTGGACCTGCAAAGGCGCACACACACAAGACACTCCACACTGCTCACTAGTCGCCTGTCTTGGTCGGCGTACTGCCACGGCATCTGCCGGGCAGCACATCTGGACGCCCAGAGGCCATAAGTCTTTGCCAGTCTGGCCAGAAACGCTGAATTGCTGTCAGATGCTCCCAGAAGACAGGGTCATAATCGGGGCCCCGTGAAAGCGCATCTGCCCAGATATTCCGCTCGCCGGCCATGTGAGACACACGGAAATTTATGCAGCGATCCAAGCAGAAGAAAGCCCAAGCCTGTAAAACGGAGGCCAGTGGCTCCTTCGTGGAGAACCCCTTCGCTGAGGCACCTACTACCCCCATATTGTCACAGAACTGTCGCACAACCACGCAACCAATGTTAGAAGACGGGTCATCACGGCGCTGCAAATCCAGTAATACCAGCTGAGCGAGGGCTTCCAAGGCACAGATAAGCACTTGTAGGCCGACTGGTCTATCCAGTGAAGCGTCTGCCTTGAACCACGTGGGCAGGGCACTCAAACTGAATTGGCAGGAGAACCACCGAAGGTTCTGTATGCATGGAGTTGAATCCTCGGGCTATGTCTCCTTCGTGGAAAAATGGGCGTGCGTGGTTCAAACTGGGGGAGCCCCATGCTTCGCACATAAAGCCATCTTCCGAGAAACAGCGTGTTGCCGGTTTCTTCCTGCGCTTCCTTGAGTCTGCTAGCCCCCTGCATCTGGTTGAGCTGCACGGGAAGCCGCGGCTGGCGGCAGCAGATGCTTTTGCTGCAGGAAATGCCGCAGGCATCGGGGGTTGGTGGTCCACCGCGCTCAAGCAGTCGCCACCCGCATCGCGCATCGGAGAATCTAGCGTGCCGGCACACTCGCAGATCCTCCCCAAGAAGTTCCAGCAGTTCATCCACTTGACCCCAATCCAGATGCAGGAAGCGCAGAGTGGGTTTAGACGCCATACGAAACCAGGTAGACATCCAGGGCCGAAGCCACCTCATGCCGCCGGTGAACCAAAGCAACCGGCCTATGAGTGACTCCAGCTCGCGTCTGCTAATAGGGATTCCGCGGCATATGCGCCTGAGCGCCAGACAGATCACTGTTACTTTGTCTTCGGGCAGAACAGCACGCGGCACTCCACGCACGTCCAGCTGCCAACCAATCCATTTGACAAACGTACCAAGCAACATCTTGTGCCAGGACAGCGGTATGCCTAATGCGCAAGCCAGCACTACTTGTAAGCATGCCATGATCGCCGCCTCACCTGCAGGAAAAAGAGAGAGCTTGTCATCAACGAACATGGAGCCAAAGTGGGTGTGGTAAATCAAACGATGGCTTAATCTGACAAAACCTGCAGCAACCCTGCTCCACCAATAAGCGGCCCAACTGCACCCAAAATGGCATGTGTTGTAGACTACCCACCGCCGTGCGCCACTGGGGTCTGCCAGGGCGAAGATGGAAAACCCACGCTCTGCTGGCGCCACCTTTTACCCGCTTGTGCGCAGTCTTCGCATCAAGAAGGAAAGCCACCCAGTCTTGCCGCTGGTGGCGGGACAAGAACTGCGCAACGTCATCCAGTGACGGGAGCTCCACTTTTTCAGCGATGCGACACAACTGATTTGCGTTGGATATGGTGCTGTCGCCAATGAGACGGGGAGCAGCACCTTCCTTCTTGACAACGCCTAGCTTGCCGGCTGCGCAATGGTCGCCGAACAATCTCCTGGCCTCTTCCAAACCACCATGGAGCCAGGAAGCGAAGCCTGCACGCACATCGTCCTGCGCCAGCTGAACACAGTCTCAGGGTCATCAAGCGCGGAGCCCCACGGCATGTCAAACACTCGCAAGTCAAGATCGGGACGTTCAGTGACATCCACCTTCCTCCAGACATCTGAAGGGGGAATGGTTTCTAGTATGCCGGTGGGCACGCCGTGCTCAAGCAAGCCCGGTAGCACTCCATCCACATCGTTGGTGAGCTTGAAAAGGGCTTCCCACAATTCCAACGCTAGAGGCTGACCATCTGCAACACACGCGGAACAAGTATAACCCTGATCTCTCAGAAAAGATACAAGCACGCTGCGCAGCTCAAGTATCTCGTCTTCACATAACCAGGGAGACTTGGAGTGAACCGCAGATGCATCCCGCAGCGGTGACACCAGCTGCCAATCATGAATCAGCCGCATCCAGCGCCGACGCAGAGCGCCCAGCCAATCAGCAGCTCGTGGAGAAAACCAATCCGCATCTGATCCAACACCTCCACCATCCCGCAGCCTCACACGCGGGCCCGGCACTGCAGTAGTAACAGCATCCAGCTTCTCGGCTGGATCTAGTCACCGCAAGGGCTTGGCTTGCTTTCCACACTGCCCCGAGTGATGCGAGGTGGCGCCGCAAATGGAGCACTCATGCTTAAACTTACAGTCGGGATCACGGCAGCGCCCCTCATTCGCCTGTGCGCCTTTTCTTGGAGAGCTTCTCCGTGCGTTCTCTCCGCGCACCATCCAGAGGCGGCGGTGGCGGTGGCAACTGCGGGCGCTTTAGGGGCGGACGCTCGCTCTTTGGCAGCTTGGGCTTCTCTACTAGGAGGTTGCGCAACAGGTCTCGGTCCACGCACACGTGGTTCAGGGCATTGTCCAAGGAATGGCCCTGGAAGCACAGACCGAAGACCTCCTCCATCGCGACACGATCCGCTGCCTCTGCCTCCTGGACCGTGGGGTTGCGGAAGCCATCTGAAGTGCGCTTGCTGTAGTACGCCAGGAACTTCTTGATATAAACGTTCCAATGCCCAAGGTGGCCAGCCTTG